TGAAGCTAGGCTTAAAGCAAAAGAACAAACAGCTAGAATAGTACTCGCTGTGTAAGACTAATTTTGCATGACTTTGCCACTATTGTCTGCCATGTGATGAAACATGGGCAAGCAGTGTGGATGAAATGTGAGCAGTGTGGATGAAATGTGAGCAGGAGCAGTGTGGATGAAATGTGAGCAGTGTGGATGAAACGTGAGCAGTGTGGATGAAACGTGAGCAGTGTGGATGAAATGTGAGCAGCGAGGTTGAAAGGCGAGAAGCGGCTCGCACCCATCTTCCACGCTTCCCCCCCCTCCCTTCCCATGACCCTCGCCAGCCAACGACCCCTGCACATACCCACCCTGCATGTGTGAACTTTGTCAATCCTCGAGTCTAGTTTTGAGGCGCCTCAAAACTACACCCTGCGTGTGGGAACTTTGTCAATCCTCAAGCTCTCCTGTGAGGACGTGGTGAGGAGTGACTCCCACCCACCTCCACTCTTCCCTTTGCTATTCCCCCTCCACTTCCCACCTTTCCACTCTTTCCCTTCCCATGACCCTCACCAGGCAACGACCCTCGCACGACTTATAAGACATTGGCTCTGGCAGCGTGTGTGAACGCGTCGATCCTCGAGCTCTCCTGTGAGGATGTGGTGAAGAAGCGACTAGACCTGGCGACTTACAAGAAGCTGCCCAACTCGTTTGGAGTCATCGTCAAATTCCTCGAGTTCGGCCACCGGGTGGGTTGAGAGGACTCTGGGTGGGCCGGTGTGTGGGTGAGTGGGTGGGTTGAGTGGCCCACAAGAAACGACTAGACCTGGCAACCTACAAGGAGCTTCCCAACTCGTTCGGCGTCATCGTCAAGTTTTTAGAGTTCAGCCACCAGGTGGGTTGATTGGTGGGTTGTGCGGTGGGTGGGATGTGCTGGGTATTGGGTGCAGAGGCCGTTAGACCTGGCGGCTTACAAGAAGCTTCCCGACTCGTTTGGCGTTATCGTCAAGTTCCGTATGTTTTTTGAGAATTCTCAAAAAACATACGCTGCAACAATTTTCCTCGAGTTCGGCCACCGGGTGGGTTGATGGGTTGGGCTGGGTTGGGCTGGGTTGGGCTGGGCTGGGCTGAGTATGGGGTTGAAAGGGCCAGTGCATGGGGAGCTCTCATGTGAGGATGTGGTGAAGAAGCGACTCGACCTGGCGACCTACAAGAAGCTTCCCAACTCGTTCGGGGTTATTGTGAAATTCCTTGAGTTTGGCCACTGGGTAGGTCCGTGTGATGAGAATTATGTTGAATTCTCTCGAACTGTGCTGGCCCTGTTCTGTACCAGGTGCTCTTTGAGTTGCTGTTGTTGCCATGGCATGCATAACCTTTTCTGTCGTGTTTTTGTGCCATCTATTGCCCCGCTTGTGTTTGTCGCGCTCACTGCTCCTGCCCTTTTGTTTTTGCAGAATAGCACATCATTCAGTAGTGAGACGGAAATAAAGGAACTCTGGGACATCACTGTCGCATGTGAGTTTAGGGTTTAGTTTGGTTGATTATGTTAGCATGACTTCAACAGATCCTGTGACTATGGTGTGTTGCATTGTCGTTATTCAACTCTCTGTCATTAAAGCAACGCTGCCTGAACCTTGTCCCTGTCATTTTTTTCCCTGCCAGCATGCACGGAGTGCCTGCCCCTGTGGCCCCAGCTGAAGCCAACTGCACTGTTCATGCTCCCTTCACATCCTGCCCCTGTTCACCATCCGTTCCCCCCGCCCACTCGTCCCTATCCCCCTCAATACACCAGCATGCACGGAGTGCCTGCCCCTGTGGCCCCAGCTGAAGCGAGCCATGGTCAAGTCGGAGTATTGGGGCAAGGTTTCTCGAAACAAGTGAGTGCTTTGGAGTAATGCAGGTGAGGGGAACACGATGGTCTTTCAACACACACATGAGTGTTTTGGGTGTGTTTTTGAGGCGCCTCAAAAATCGGCACATGAGTGTTTTGGGTGTGTTTTGAGTCGACTCAAAACACAGCTGGAGCGAGCCATGGTCAAGTCGGAGTATGGGGGCAAGGTCTCGCGAAATAAGTGAGTAACTTTCGGTGAAGCTCATTTGCAACTGCCTCTGAATCTTTTTAAAGGGGCAATGAAGGCTGGTAACCCGGGAACGCCTTAACTAGGTGTGCAAGGATGCGAGGCTGAGGGGGCTGCTTTTAGTGATGGCCCTTTCCTCACATTCCACTTTCCACCCTCCCTCTCTTTCGTACCCCTACCAGGCTGTTAACCCAGGAGCGGTTGAACCAGGTGTGCAAGGATGCGAGGCTGAGGGAGTTGCTGGCAGTGGTGGCCTTCAGCCCGCACCTCACTCTTTCCCCTGCTACTTTTCCCCTCCATCACCTTCCCCCCACCCTGCCCCCCCCACCCCCTAGGCTGGTAACGCAGGAGCGGACCAGGTGTGCAAGGATGCGAGGCTGAGGGAGCTGCTGGCAGTGGTGGCCTTCAGCCCTTCAAATGCCCTCCTCATCCCCCATCTCCTCCCGCTCTCTTCCACTCTTCCACGACCAGGCTGGTTACGAGGGAGCGGCTGAACCAGGTTTGCAAGGATGCGAGGCTGAGGGAGTTGCTGGCAGTGGTGGCCTTCAGCCCGTGAAACACCCTCATTCTGCTAACAAGAGAAAAGGCAATCTGCGTTTTGAGTCAACTCAACACAACAATCACCCAAGGGAGCTGCTGCTGGCAGTGGTGGTGGACTTCAGCCCCTGAAATACCCTCGTTCTGCTAACACGATTCATTATTTCGTAAGGCAATTTATTCATTAGTTTTATTTTTTGGGCCATGTTCCTTTATCCAGCTCCTGCAAGGGTTCATTATTAATGCAGGCCAGCCATTGATTCCGGAGCAAGAAAAGTCTAGACTCTAGTGTGCTGGCTCTGACACAATTGACGGAACGTGAACGATTTGAAATATACGGTACAGTTGCTACTTCTACCGGTAGCTGCTAATCATGGTAACTGCTGGAATACCACAAATACATAAACATTTGTAGTCCGGGTTCTTGGCAGTAATACGGTACTGGTACATACGGAAATAACTCCATTCATGTGATAAGATGGGGTGGCAGGCTGGCAAGCAACACCAGACGTTTTAATTACTTCTTGGAGAGATTTTAATTAGAGCGTATTCCTATCCTCGTATCAAGAAAACCTCATATCAACCTCCCACTGAAAATTCCCTTAAACCCAAAACCTCTCGCTACTTTTACCAGGCAAAAAGTACAATCTTGATATGAGGTTTTCTTGATACGAGGATAGGAATACGCTCGGCCTGCACGGGCATGAAGTGAGGTGTGTTTTGAGGCGCCTCAAAATACACCTCACTGCACGGAGAGATTTTAATTAGGCCTACACGGGCATAAAGTGATAAGACGGTCAGTGTCAGTCCCCAGAACTCTCTTAAATGGTTCCTGAAATTGCATTGTCCACAGGAGCAGCCTCCCTGTTTGCCTATACAATCTCATGGAATGCAATCACTGAACAGCTGCAACAAACCTTTTTTAGTATATAGAACTCTCAAGACAACTCCTGGGATATTTGGGGGCGGTACAGGGAACACTACACTATTGCCCATGAGAGCCGCCTTCACTCGCCCTCGGTTCAGAAGGAACCGAAACACATGCGGGCTATGGGCCACAGTTACTCAGTACCATACTATTATCATGCTTTCTATTGATCAAGACAGCCCCCCGGGTCTTCAGGATTGGAACGGGGGACTGCATTGCTAACAGGAGCAGCCTCAACCCCCCTTCTGTTCAGCAGGCACCGGAACACGTGCAATCGCTGCTCTGCTTCTCCGCTTGCTAGTGCCACATCGGCATATGCCTTGGTGCTCCAGAGACGCTCTGAGGGAAACAGATGAAAAGCAAGGGGAGAAGGACGCACAGAGAGTGTAAGTGGGTGGCAGGGGGCATCGGGACATGCGCAATCGACTTTTGGGGCGCCTCAAAATCCCCTTCGGTTCAGGAGGCACCGGAACACATGCAATATTTTCTCCGCCTCTCCGCTTGCTAGGGGCACATCGGCATATGCCTTGGTGCTCCAGAGGCGTTCTGTGGTAAAAATGTGAAAAAGGGGGGACACATAGATTGCTCAAGTGGTTTGGAGGGAGGCACCAGAACACGTGTAGTGAGTCGATTTTTGAGTCGACTCAAAAACCGCGTGTAGTGAGTCGATTTTTGAGTCGACTCAAAAACCGCGTGTAGTGAGTCGATTTTTGAGTCGACTCAAAAATCAAAAATGTGAAAAAGGGGGGACACATAGATTGCTCAAGTGGTTTGGAGGGAGGCACCAGAACACACTTGGTGCAGCGTCGGCATATGCCTTGGAAATGCACACTTTGCTTCCATGGCATATGCCTTCCAAGTGCTAAAACAGTCCAACACTCATCATAATCAAACACATTGCTGCCCCAACCAATCCTAATCTCACCACCAGCAGCACCAGCAACTCGTGGTCAAATGGTTGGCATGAAGTCAGATGAGTCTTCCTTCTCGCCCCATATGCATACCTCCTCTCAGCCCCCCTTCCATTAAAATTGCGCAACTCTTAATGAATCAGTACGATTTTACTCAACTAGTTCAGCATCGCACTCACCAGCAGCAGCAGCTCGAGGCCAGATGGTGGGCATGAAGTCAGATGAGTCGACGTTCTCCCCCCACATGCACACCTCACCCCTCATCTCATTTCCTTAAATAGTGCAACACTCATTATAATCAAACACACTGATGCCCCAACCAGCCCGTCATCTCACCCGCAGCAGCGGCGGCTCGAGGCCAAATGGTTGGCATGAAGTCAGATGAGTCGACCTTCTTCCCCCACATGCACACATGTGCTCTGCCCCCCTTCCACTAGGATTGCATTTTTGAGGCGCCTCTTGAGGCGACTTTTGAGGCGCCTCAAAAGTCCCCCACATGCACACATGTGCTCTGCCCCCCTCTTCCACTAAGATTGCACAACTCCTAGTGAGACAATACAAGTTTACGCAACAAGTTCACTTCCGCATCGCACTCACCAGCAGCAGCGGCAGCTCGCGGCCAGATGGTGGGCATGAAGTCAGACGACTCGACCTTCTCCCCCCACATGCACACCTCTTCTCTGCTCCCCTTCCATTAGAATAGCCAACTCCTAGTGTGGCAGTGCAAGTTTTCTCAGCTAGTTCAGCATCGCACTCACCAGCAGCAGCGGCAGCTCATGGACAAATGGTGGGCATGAAGTCAGATGAGTCGACCTTCTCCCACCACATGCACACCTTGACCCCCATCTTATTTCCTTATATAGGGCAACACTCATTATAATCAAACACACTGATGCCCCAACCAGTCATCTCACCAGCAGCAGCAGCAGCTTGTGGCCAAATGGCCGGCATGAAGTCGGATGAGTCGACCTTCTCCCCCCACATGCACACCTTGACCCCCATCTTATTTCCTTATATAGTGCAACACTCATTATAATCAAACACACTGATGCCCCAACCAGTCATCTCACCAGCAGCAGCAGCAGCTCGTGGCCAAATGGTCGGCATGAAGTCGGACGAGTCGACCTTCTCCCCCCACATGCACACCTCTCCCCCTTCCAATAACTGCTCCGGTATAGAGCCATCCACTACAAGGTGCTGTGTCGGGTCTGTACTGTACACTCTATTCCAATCCTGCATAGGGGATGGACAGGGAAAGGGAGAGGGAAGGAAGAGGAGGTAGTGAGAGCCTCGTTATAAGCTACTACTGGATGGATGGTTGTTGCTCAGATTCCTATTATTGAGTGCCCCAATATATAGCACTTCTCGTGCCCATGTAATGTACCCGCTAAAGTAAATTCCTGATACACATTGCTGCAGCTAATTTAAAAGACTTCACATGTCCTGCTTCAAACAATCTCCTCTTTTTTTAAGTGCTTCGCCATAAGCCACTCACCACGTCCATAGAGTCGAGGTACCATCCACCATACACATTGCTGTAGATTATTCGGAACCCTTTAAGCATCATGCCCTCAATGTTATCCTTGTTAAAAAGCTTTTCGTTATAAGCCGCTCACCACATCCATAGAGTCGAGGTACCATCCGCCATACACATTGCTGTAAATAATTCGAAAGTTGTCACGAGCCATGCTTCCAAGGATGTCAACATTCAACCTGACACGAGCGAAACAATGATATATTCTGTCAGAGCCAGGTCAGAAGCAAGGGTAGCATGTCAGACGAAGAAAAAAGAAGAACGTGGCATTTTCTTGTATTCTAAACATGAGAAAAAAATTGCTATCGACCTAAGATAGATATTCTTTTAATCATACCAGTTTTGAAGGATGGTGGTCGTCTTGTTAAGGTCCTCTGAAAAACCCTGGTATGATTCCTCCCTGCACATATGAAGGGAAACAAGCAGAAAGGTGACTCAGAAGTTCACTCTGGAATTTTTTAAAAGTTTTGAAGAATGGCGGTTGTCTTGTTGAGGTCCTCTGAGAAACCCTGGTATGATTCCTCCCTGCACATGTGAAGGGAAACAAGCAGAAAGGTGACTTAGAAGATCACTCCGGATTTTTTTTTTAAGTTTTGAAGAATGGCGGTTGTCTTGTTGAGGTCCTCTGAGAAACCCTGATAGGATTCCTCCCTGGATGCAGAGGGGGAAGAAGCAGAAAGGTGCCTCAGAAGTTCACTCAGGAGAAGGTTGAAAAGTTTTGAAGGATGGTGGTCGTCTTGACTAGGTCCTCTGAAAAAACCTGATAGGATTCCTCTCTGGATGCAGAGGGGGAAGGAGCAAAGAAATGAGGAGGAAAACAACAAGGTTAATCCCTGCCAAGGGGTAGGAGGGAGACGTGAACAACTCGGTTAGAGAATTAAGATGAGACCATAATACCGTGGGACATGTGAGCTTGGATGGGAGAAGACCATGGGATGAGATGACACGAAACCATAATTACCACAGCACACATACCATACTATAGTCTTCTCCCATCCCAACTCCAAGGCAATGGATCGAACTCGGTTGGAGAAATAGCGGACGGCATCCCTTGGCTGCATTCCCTGCTGGCTCATCCTGTGGACGAGTGTTGAGAGATGGGGCAGAAAGAACAGAGAGAAAAATTCAGCAGCTGGTTGGCTGATACAGCGTGCTTGCATTGCAGCCTTGCCGCATTAAAAAGTGTCACAGTGAAACGCAGACCGTTGTATTGCATGGTGCGGTACTACCACAGTGAAAATATCGGTATACCATACCAGTGGTGCACTGCACTGTAGTGACGCAGGATCGCCACTGAGCGAGTCATGGTAGCATGGTGACACAATGACACATACATCATAGCAGCGTCGCAGCAATCCTAGCAGCCCAGGGCTTACCACTGGGAAATCCGTTCAGACTGCCTCCAACAGTCTGGTGGAAGGGAGGCAGATACAGGGTCAGGGAGGCGAGAAAGAGAGAACGGGCGAACAAGGGCGATAGACAGTGAGTATTTGATGTTTTAGGCGCCAAAAATAAGTCTGAGTCGGACAGGAGAAGGGAAGAGAATTCCAGAAAGTAAGAGTGGTTGCTTGCTGTCCTTCATACTCCTCATTTCCCCCTTCCCACTCTCCATCTCCCTCTCCCTTCCTGTCCCGTACCTTCCTTCACTTCATCCCCTCCTATGTGTATCCTGCTGCCTGTGAACACTGACCGAAGATCTGTCGCAGTAATCGAAGGGGGTGGAGGGATGGGAATGAAGGGAAATATCGCGGGATGAATAAGCAGGGTGAGAGTCACCTCCTGTGTGTCAAAGAGGTCTTACAGGGTAGCACACACACCTCCTGTACTACATGGTATGTTCCTTGCATATGTGTGTGCTACCTTGTAGCATGCCTATGACCATACCCTTAATCAGCTCGATTGTGAACTCACCGGTCACTTAACCCTAAGTCACTAGTAACTTAATCTCTATGAGATAAGCCTCCTCTTCTGTAACACACCGGTGAGCACGCCCTTAACAGTGAGGTGTATTTTGAGGTGCCTCAAAAATCCGCGAGCAGTGAGGTGTATTTTGAGGCGCCTCAAAATACACTAGTAACTTCATCTCCATAAGATAAGCCTCCTCTTCTGTAACACACCGGCGAGCACGGCCTTCATCAGCTGAATGTAAACTCGTTAGAATTAAGACATCAGTTTAGAAAATACATGAACCTCTGTATCATACCTGTCAGTCAGCTTTAATCAGCTCGAATGTGAACTCACTAATTAGAGACATCCAGACGATAAGCATGCAAGTTTTCTGTAGCATACCTGTGAAAACGCCTTTGATCAACTCGAATGTGAACTCATTTGACACGTCCAGAGGCTCCTTGCATGTGAGACTGGGGTAGAGCACTGGGTAGCCCACCCCCCTGTAAGGATGGATGGGTAGGGTAAGGAGGTAGGTACAGGACAGAAGGCGAGGAACGCATGAGAGGCAGGGGGGTTGTACAGACACATACTGGGATTCTTTCCTTGCAGGTGAAGCTGGGGTAAAGCACAAGATAGCTCACTCCTCTGACAGGACTGACAGGGTAGGAAGAAAGCAACCAGAGGCGGTGTGATCTGTGTCTCAAGACACATGCAGGGACAACCAGAGGCTCCTTGCATGCAAGGTACCACAGCAGCACGACATGGCAGGAGTGAGTGAGTGAGTGAGTGAGTGAGTGAGTGAGTGAAGTGAAATGAAGTGCTTATACATCTCCACACTCCACTTCAGGTAAGGTCGCATTGTCAGAGCCCATGTGCCTATGCCCGACTCACCATGAGGTGGCATGTGCAGGAGTGTCGATTTCAGGGATGACTACGATTCCACGTGCTGCTGCATATCTGGTGGGTGGAGACGGGCGCAGAGCAGTGCAAAGGGGTGAAGAGCCGTGAATATTGGTGCAGAAAAGCACGTGCAGAGTGTGCATCGTTTCGCCTGGGAGAGACTCCCTCCCAGAGGAGAGGGGAAAAGGAAGTCCTTTCACAATCACCTGAAATAGCACCTGAGTATTCACCTGACGATGTGTTTGGCGTCCCTGAGTGTGTATCGCTCCGCCTGGGAAAAAGCTCCCTCCCAGAGGCGAGGGAAGGAGGGCGTTTCAATGGGGAACGACTGCGCGTCCACCAGGTGCCAGTGGCTGGAGAGGGGTGTTGAGGGGTAGAAAAGGGTGGAGAGGGGTGGAGAGGTGTGAATGTGATGTGAGAACTGAAGTGCATGTGATACATGGTGAAGGACGGAGTGGAGGCAGACAGAAGCAATGAGGGGGAATGGAGGGGAGACGAGACAAGACTGGAATCTGGGAGAGGGGAGAGAGACGGGGAGGACGAGCAGCAGCACACGTAACAGCACACGAGCAATCTCTGAATTGCTGTTACGTCTGCGGCTGCTCGTCCTCCTCGTCTCTCTCCCCTCTCCCAGATTCCAGTCTCGTCTCTCTCCCCTCTCCCAGATTCCAGTCTCGTCTCCCCCATCCCCCCTCACTGTTTGCTGGTGCTGGTGCTGCCCACTCTCCCATCCCCCCACCTCTCTATCACTCCAGGAGAGCGGTGGAGATGGGAGGAGAGGTACAGACAGTGGGCAATTCAGACAGGGAATGCATGTATGCGTCCCACCCATCCCTGCACCCACCCATCCCTCCAACCCACCCATCCCTGCATCTCACCCATCCCTGCATCTCACCCATCCCTGCACCCACTGATCCCATCCTGGCACTCACAGAACATTCAGCTTGGCATAAGACATGGCGTCAAGCACTCTCTCTATCTCCACCACTGGGAGGAAATGCCGCGCCGTGTCTGCTCAAACACAGGGGGGCGGGGGAAGGTGGGGAAAGGGGTTGAGGTGAGGGAAAGGGTGGGACTGGAGCAAATAAGGGGGAAGAGGAGGGAGGTGAGGGTGTAAGACATGCCGTCAAGCACTCTCTCTATCTCCACCACTGGGAGGAAATGCCGCGCCGTGTCTGCTCAAACACAGGGGGGCGGGGGAAGGTGGGGAAAGGGGTTGAGGTGAGGGAAAGGGTGGGACTGGAGCAGATAAGGGGGAAGAGGAGGGAGGTGAGGGTGTAAGACATGCCGTCAAGCACTCTCTCTATCTCCACTACTGGGAGGAAATGCCGCGCCGTGTCTGCTCAAACACAGGGGGGCGGGGGAAGGTGGGGAAAGGGGTTGAGGTGAGGGAAAGGGTGGGACTGGAGCAGATAAGGGGGAAGAGGAGGGAGGTGAGGGTGTAAGACATGGCGTCAAGCACTATCTCCACCACCGGGAGGAAATGCCGCGCCGTGTCTGCTCAAACACAGGGGGACGGGGGAAGAGAGCATCTTCCACTCCAGTGCTAAACGCACACCATGGATGGTCACAAGGCGAGATGAGTGGTGATGGTACGGGTAGCGACACAGCTGCCTATGAGACCTGTGAAAAGCCTCCTTGCGTATCAGACTCACTCACCGATCAGCAGCCCGCGGTGGTTGAAGCGGGGAGCATCGTCCACTGTCAGGGGCGCACCATAGATAGTCACGAGCCGAGATGGGTGGTGGTAGCGACACAGCTGGCTGAGGGTCTGTCGGGGGCAACAAGGTGAGGGGGAAAGCAGGCAGAAGAACTTGCACAAAGAGTGGGAAGCAACGAAGGCGTGACAGCAATCCGGCTGGCTTAGCAAATAATTTGTTGGTGGGGTGCCTCCTTTAACAACTTAGCTTCTTAGCACGCCTACCGTCCAACTGTAAGGAAGTAGGCATCAAATCCTAACTAACATTACCTCTAGAACACTGAAAGCACCCACTAATATCTTGGCTTGAGAGAGCGACCTGACCTCTGTATGCAGATAGGCTGCTGCCTACCTGCTTCTAAGTCCTACCTACCTATTGATCTCCCTGCCTGCTTCTATGCTTACCCCCACCCAACGCTTACCTCTAATGTTCTGAAGGCATCAAACCATGTGTGGGCCTGGGGGACCTGACCTGAGCGTGTCATACTTCTTGCCTTCTCCTCCTTATACCGCCTGCCCGCTTCTGAAACTCAACTGCTTCATACTTCGTACGTGCATGAATGCGTCAGCCCCGACACAACGCTTACCTCTAGCGCTCTGAGGGCACCAAACGATGTGCTGGCCTGCGGTAAGAGGGATGGGGTGGGGAGGAGGGAAAGGGACGAGGGAGGAATGGAAGGCAAGGGGTATGGGGAGGGAGGAGGGAACGGGAAGAGGGAAAGGGGGACGGGGTGTGTGGATTGGAGGGGCAGCGAGTGTTGGAGGGGGTGAGGAGGTGGAGCATTGTAACGTGTAGGTTGAATGGCAAAAGGGAGAGGGAGGGGCGCGGATGGGAGGGAGGGACACGGAGGGGAGGGAGGGGCATGGAGGGAAGGAGGAACATGGAAGGGAGAGAGTGGCATGGAGGGAAGAGTAGGAGATTCAGCAAAATTGACATTGTGCAATGTGGATGTGGTTACAGAGTTACCAGCCAGCTCAAACAACAACAGAAATTGCTCATTTTGATTGAGGGAGCATCAAAACGGGTGTGTGTGGGAGTTGGAAAGGGGTGGAGGGGAGAAGAGGGGTGGAGGGGAGAAGGGGGATTGAGGGGAGAAGTGGGGTAGGATGACTTCAAAATCGAACCCTGCTTGAAGGGCGACAGAAGCATCGCAATTCTCAACTCACACAACAGGAAATGTAGAGACTGTGGAAAGTGGAGGGTGGAAGGAGATAAGACACAGAGCAGCAGCGGTGGCAGTGTCAACAGCAGCAGCAGCAGCAGCAGCAGCAGCAGCAGCAGCAGCAGCAGCAGCAGCAGCAGCAGCAGCAGCAGCAGCAGCAGCAGCAGCAGCAGCAGCAGCAGCAGCAGCAGCAGCAGCAGCAGCAGCAGCAGCAGCAGCAGCAGCAGGCGGCAGCGGCAGCGGCACAAGCCTGACACCACATAGTCTAAATTTTCCCATAGAGCGACGTACCTTAATTACAGCAGCTCCTGGCTCTCCTTTTTCTCCGAGCGAGAGAGTGTAGCTCTCATCCACCCCTACATCCAGCTGAGAGTTCACAGTCGGATGGGAGAGAAAAGAAAGAGAAATGGAATATGTGTTTTCAGTCAGACGATTTCCTTTCCCCTCAAAACCAAATATTAGCACATCAGCCCCCTCTCTCGTTATAATGCCTCGTCACATCCTCACCGGTTCTCCTGGTCGCGCTATTTGCACGTCGACTCGCTCAATCACCACCACCTTCGCACGAGATTTGGTCGCAGCTTTCCCATTCTGCGACGTCGCACTCGTGGACGAATCGTCGAGCTCAGAGTAGTCATCGCCATACTCGTGTGCGAAGATAATGCGATGGTAACGGTCGTAAGCTTTCATTATGAGGTCACGAGAGGAGTCCACGTCGGCCGCTGAGGCTTTACCAAACGAGACGGTCAACCGGCTAAAAGGGCTGAAAATTGCCGGCCGGGCTGCATCCTTTCCATTGGACGACGTGAGCTGACGTGGCATGGGCCAAATGCGCATTTTCGGGTCCAGCAGGCCCGGAATTTTCGCAGCCAATGGATCGCCGTCGCGGTTATTCGTTCCTTGTCGCACGAAATCGTCAAGTCGTCGCTCCCATTCTTCCATGCGGCGCTGATCTATTTCAGGCCCGGCGCTGCGAAGAGATTCGCCATCATTTTCGGACGAGGCGACTGGTAGCAACTCAGAATCAACCATTTTGTGCGGGATTAGAAGAACTATTAGCACGCAGAGGATAAGAAGAAGGAGGATGATCAAGAAAGAGGAGGCTCGGGCAGGAAGTGAGAAATTTGTAGCTGTTGATATTGACCCGGATTTAGGTTGCGCGGAATCGATGAACGACTGAGTTTCTAGACTGGAGTGGTCGTCGTCATTTGACATCATTGGTCGAGTCTCGTTGTCATTGGTCATGCTAATAACGGCCTCTTCGTCTTTCCGTATCCGAGCTGACATGTCGATCGATCGTTTACGCTCCGGCTAGGGAGTTCCGAGTACGAAACCACGTAACGAAAAGAACCACTAACCGCGAAGATTCGTCACTGCCTCCGTGACTGTAAGACTGCTTTAGCGCAAACGAAATTGCGGCGGTAGTCAATCAGTATTGCGAGCTAGCGGAGCCATAAGTTACTAGCAATAGCAAGCGAGCTTAGGCATCGATGAGAGGATGCCTCGGAGGGCTATTTCCAAATTAGTTGAATGCGGTAGCAAAACGGGGAGCGGAAAATCAGGCAGCTGGGATTGGAAGGGAAGGACATGACCTCCGTCGATAAATAAAGAGAACCATGGGTAATAAATTACACCTGAATTGCTAGCGCGAAAAATCAGGTAGCGAAATTGACCTGGACAAGTCTGGATGATGATGGTCGTCGTAGGGAATGCAATGCTTGTAAAAAGATTGACAGGTATTCACGCTGTACCTCTAAGAACCGTCTTCAATGTCTCTGCACCATCTGACATCCATCTCTCCCAAGGCTCTGGTTTGAAACTGGCACTGGCAGGCGGTGAAAGTGACTAGCCTGTAGCTGAAGTGAAGAGACGAATGTGGAGGTTCACTTGGCTCCGAATTTCATGGGTCGCACAGCACCTTCGCCTCAAATCACAGTGGTTTGTAGGTGTGATATGCGATTTCATATAGTTTCATGCGATTGTGCGATGGCAGCCGATCGGACAACGGATCGCATATCTCCACGCCATCAACCCTGCCACGAGAAATTCTCCATTTGAGAATTGGGAAGGGTGAGGGGTAGGTTTGGGGAACACTAGTAGGGGTGGAACTTTGCCAGCGCTGACGCAAATGATTAGCGAAATCGTTCGCAGAGGCTCTGAGATGGAAAGAAGACTACACCAAGCCTACTTAGACTTGTTGAGAGAGGCAACCTGGTAACTGGAACCAGAAATAGAGCCAATAGCGGCCTGTGTTTGAATATTTGGAACGCGTGGCTTGGATGTGATTGGTAGAAAATGTTTTCAGCTTTATCCACCTTTCGACATCACCGAGGTTGACTTCATCAGAACCTTGAGATTCTCAAATGAGAAAGTTTCCTGCCTTCCACCACCTCGAGAATTCGCAATTTTCTTGCTCCATCGTTGTCACTTTTGGGGGAACCCTTTTGCCTGAATGAAACAGCAGCTGGCGGCTTCCAGATCAAACCTCAAACCTCTGAGGAGAGGACGTGGCGCCGTGAGTTTGACACGCAAGGATCAGGATTACAAGAGATACACAAGCACAGCACACACACACCTCACATGTAGCTCTGTTTCCAAGTTCCGTCGTCGTGGGCCCTATCTCTGGTGGCATCTGCTCAAGTCGCCGGCGTTCACTCGTGCATCCCTCGATCGTACCCCAACGTATCCCTCCTCTTTCAAACATCGATCGACACAACCCGAGGCGATGTCGCATTTAGGTCGATTCGTTCCCGTGCCTGGCTCCGCTAACCCCTCAGCCGTAAACGGCGACAGTCAAAATGGCGATTTCGAATCCCAGTTCCTTGTTCCCGAATCCGAGCTGCTGCAAGCTCTTCCCGAGGATATTCCTCTGGAGCACCTAAGAAAGTCTTTTAGCGTCGACACTCTCCTGACGGATTTCCAGCGCACTGGAATCCCAACCGCCAGCCCTTTTGCTCCCAGACACGCAATCGCTGCGTCAGCTGCAGACGAAAAAACGGTAGACCAGGGCAAGCACCGAGAAGGAACTACCGGAAGAGCATTCCTAGGAGGTTCAGAAAAAGCAGAAGGATTAGAAACATCTGGAAAATCTCACGAGCACGATTCAGATTCTTCCATGGCAGCGGCTCCGGGAACACTAGCGGTAGCTCCGGCGCATCTTCTGGAGTCCATGTTTCCTGGCATGGAGTTTTCTAGGCCGTTCGCGAACGGCGACGTCGCGAACAGTTTCGCGAACGGCGAGAGCGCCAGGCTCGCACAAGCGGATGTAGCGAACAGCTTCTACGAAACGGGTAAAACAGGCAGCCGAAACCAGCGCGGTAGTGGCAGCGCTGCCGGTAGTTCCGCTGCTGCCACGTCTCCATCCGGTGCCGTGGACGCTGCTGACGTGGCCGGGTTACACGCGCAACGGGACGCGGTTTTGCGGGGATTTGAGATCACGGAGCCGGCGAGAGACGACAAGGAGACGGGCGAGAAGGCCAAGTACATGGCGTCGATTCTGGAGGCTTATCAGAAGCTGCTGGAAGAACGCACCCAGTACCATTTTGGTGAGTCGGAATGTGGCCGATAACGTTTAAAGCTTGGGTTATTAAGGTGTCCTGATAGCAGGGCGAAAAGGGAGAAGGCCAAGTACATGGCGTCGATTCTGGAGGCTTACCAGAAGCTGCTGGAAGAACGGACCCAGTACCACTTCGGTACGTCAGAATGGGGCTGGCGTTGATGTTTGGGTTTTGAGTTTGGTTTTCGAAGGCAACGAGAGGGCGAGAAGGCCAAGTACATGGCGTCGATTCTGGAGGCTTACCAGAAGCTGCTGGAAGAACGGACCCAGTACCATTTCGGTGAGTGGGAATGTTGAAATGGTGTTTTCTCCTGGTCGTTTAGGTGTAGCTGAGGCAAGGTGAGAAGGGAGAAGGCCAAGTACATGGCGTCGATTCTGGAGGCTTACCAGAAGCTGCTGGAAGAACGGACGCAGTACCACTTAGGTATATCAGAATGGGCTGACGTTGATGCTTGGGATTCGAGTTGTGTTTTCGAAGGCAATGAGAGGGCGAGAAGGGCAAGTACATGGCGTCGATTCTGGAGGCTTATCAGAAGCTGCTGGAAGAACGGACTCAATACCACTTTGTTGAGTCGGAATGTCGAAATGGTGTTTTCTCCTGGTCGTTTAGGTGTAGCTGAGGCAAGGTGAGAAGGGAGAAGGCCAAGTACATGGCGTCTATTCTGGAGGCTTACCAGAAGCTGCTGGAAGAACGGACCCAGTACCTCTTTGGTGAGTGACTGTCGTCGATATGGGTTTAAGGTTGGGTTTTCAAGGTGTCCCGATAGCAGGGAGAAAAGGGAGAAGGCCAAGTACATGGCGTCTATTCTGGAGGCTTACCAGAAGCTGCTGGAAGAACGGACCCAGTACCTCTTTGGTGAGTGACTGTCGTCGATATGGGTTTAAGGTTGGGTTTTCAAGGTGTCCCGATAGCAGGGAGAAAAGGGAGAAGGCCAAGTACATGGTGTCTATTCTGGAGGCTTACCAGGAGCTTCTGAAAGAACGCACTCAGTACCACTTCGGCATGTAGGAATTGAGTTGGGTTGGGAGTTGGGTTTCCGAAGGCAATGAGAAGCCAATGAGAGAGGGAGAAGGCCAAGAACATGGCGTCTATTCTGGAGGCTTTTCAGCAGGCGCTAGAAGAGCGCACTCAGTACCACTTTGGTCGGTGGGGCTGTTATTGAAATGACGAGGTTGGTGATTGGTCTTTGCTGTGTCTCGAAGGCAGGGAGAGAGGGGAGGGGGAAGGCACATGACGTGGATTCTGGAGGCCAATCAAAATTTGCTTGTAGAACGCACGCACTCGGAACCACTTTGGTGAGTCGGACTGTAGGGCAGGGTTGGTGTTTGATCCTTGAAATGGCACGTATGTGAAGTCGTTGAAGCAACCAGCTTGATGAGATGGCGAGCTGGTGGGAGGCTGCTGGTAGATTGGTCCCCAGAGGTTGAATACATACAAGGCAGCTGTCATGGGTGCTCATTTGTGGCTGTTCATTTCGATTTGACAATTGTGTCGCATCCATCTGCGCTTAATTCCTTCCAGGCTAACTGTACAGCCTGGAGATTGGCATATAGGGGACCTGAAACATTGTATCATTTCTTTCACTGTTTTTTTCGTTCTCTTCTCCCAGGCTATCCGTACAACCTGGATTTTGACTACGGCGCCCTGACAGGTCTGCAGCACTTCTCCATAAACAATCTCGGGGATCCCTTTATCGAGAGCAACTATGGCGTGCACTCCCGCCCGTTCGAGGTATTTCTTTCTGCCTCTGCAAGACCCTGGTTAAACCCCCAAGCTTTCTTTTCTCAGGCGCCTCAAAACACTTATCCCCGTCCGTCTGAATAAAAAAATCCGCCACTGCAAATTCCTGGGTAAACCTGTCGATTCTTTTTTTTTTTCCTAGGTGAAATCGAATTCAAGGATGCACTTCTGCCCGTTTGATGTGTTTCCGCCTCGGTAAATCCTTGGTGAAACCATGCCCAACTAGTGGGAAGCATATAAGAAACCACACTGCACCGCACTCAACCTCCTTTCACTCCTCGCAGCCCCTGTGTTTCCGCCTGTGCTAGGTGGGCGTGCTCAACTGGTTTGCCCGTCTGTGGGACTTAGACGAGTGTGACTATTGGGGTTACATCACTAACTGCATCCTAACAT